ACAGCTGAGTTTGGAAAATAAATTGGCTCGAATGAAATACCATGTCAACGGTGATGACGACGACGACGATGGTGGTACTGATTATGATGGTAGTACTGATGATGACTAATTTGAAGATGATATTAATGATAATAATGATGATGATGACGACGATGATGAAGATGACTGACTACCAACGAAATCCCGGCACGATAAAAACTTTATTGACAACCGTTACAAAATTTTTCCATAGACGATAATAGCGAGAATAAAATTGTTTCTTGTTTTAGATGAAAACTGCCAATAGAGAATCTCGTTGACATTAATTACAACAACTACAATTAAAACAATGACATCAATATATACAGCGACGAGAAAAAACAGCAGCTATGACATCAACAGCGTCACTGGTGACACTAATTATGGCATAAACAGCGACCGTTTTGTATGTACCTACTACATTATTAATGTATAAGAGGTTTATAATGATAACGCACTAAGAATTTATCATTCAATATTTTTAAATTATTACCTTCTTTTTATATACCATACCTACCTACCTACACACACACACAGGCACACACAAATACGCACCCACACACACACACACACACACACACATCCTCATCATCATCATCATCGTTGTCATTATATTTCATACCCATTTTTTTAAATACACTGTATAAAACCGTATTAAAGTATTCTTAAATAACTACAAATAAATATAAATATATATTTTTATATAACTATATATATATATATACATGTGTGTGTGTGTGTGTGTGGTGTGTTTGTGTGTGTGTTTGCGTGTGTGTGTGTGTAGGGTTTACATGTGACGGCTCTAAGCCGCTTTTCAAGTTTAACTTTGTGTATATGTACTTTGTACATATGTATAGTGTACTATGTAAGTGTGTGTGTTTAGTGTGTGTGCATGTATATTCTTTGTATATATGTATGTGTATTCTTTGTATGTATGTATGTGTATGTATGATTGTTTGTATGTGTTCGTTGTATTGAGAATGCATTGGGAAATAAGATGCAGCGTGTGTACTTGCTTGAATGGTTATGTGACGGGACAATTAATTAGTTATTGAATATTTTAATAATCATTATTAAACCAGTTTATTCTTATTTTTATTAAATTTAAAAATTTAGAATTTTCAAAAATTTATAAAACTATTATAATAATTTGGAAAAAAAAACAATTTCCTCTATTTGCCTCCATTAGAAGTAGATTATTTTCCCACCTTTGATACGCCTTTTCTATGTTTTCTTGGCGGTAGCCACATTTACAGAAGTTTAATTTCTCCCTCGCCAAAGTCCTAAAAAGTTTTTTAACATGGATGTGTGTGTAAAAACAATAGTATACTGTCCGTATCAGCTCTCCAACCATACACATAACACGTACATAAATGCATACGTATCTCATTATAAAGTGTACATAAGTCAGTACATGAAATGTACACAAGTCACTGGAAAAGTACATCATCAGTTGGTTTGGACGTCATTTAAATAGGTATGTACTGATAGTTGACTCTACATAAGTTGGTAGAGACGGGGTCTAGAAAAATCTGTATGGTGTATATATAAGTAGGTAGAGTGTACGTAAGCCGGTGTAGAGAATACAAAAAGCCAACGTGTAGTGTGTACATAATTAGGTTTCGAATGTACAAAAGCGTACAAGCAAGCCAGTTTCTGATGCGTGTACAAACGTGTGTGGGTACGCATCTATAAAAAGAGACAAAATCGATCAAGCATTGAATTCTTTTCAGTATAAAAGACGAGTGAGCGAGTGAGTGAGTGAATGAGCGAGTGAGCGAGTGAGTGAGTGAATGAGCGAGTGAGCGAGTGAGTGAGTGAATGAGCGAGTGGGTGAGTGAGTGAGTGAGCGAGTGAGTGAGTGAAAGGATGATGAATGAAAAATGAAAAAAATAAAAATATGATTGAATGATGATGACTAATGATTTAATTAATGTTAAATCAAAAACAACAACTCGAAAAAAAAATGAAAAAAAAATTTTCCCTAAAATGGAAAAAAACGAATAAACAAATAAATTGAAAAATAAAAGAGAAAAAAATGATGAATGGAATGAGGAAGAGGAAATGGCGAGAGAAGGAATACAACCTTATTGATTTTTCAAAAACTACACACACACAATAAAACATTCTATTACTACGAATACTGGTCCCATGCACTGCAATGCAATATTACTTTTTTAATAATCCCCTTTCGTATGCCTAGTATAAAAGTGGCATATTTATCAGCCTACTAGCATCATCAGTAGCAGTATAAACGGCTGTAGTAATTCATTAGTAATTGCTCGACTGCTATGGGTATCAGTAACAATTGGTTGTTGTTGTTGTTGTTGTTATTGTTTTGAATTAATGTTGGAAAAACAACTTGTGTCATTTCTTTTTTAGTTATATGTGAAGTCGCTTCCGATTTGAAATTACCACGCATATATCACCACCAACATTTGAAACGATGACTCTTCTGGAACCATCGTTAGCAACATTTTTCGTTGTTGTTTCAGCTGCTGTAGTAGTAGAAGTAGCAGTAGCAACAGCAGTAGCAGTAGTAGCGGTGGTAGTTCTTATTATTATTGTTGTTTTTGCAGCTGAACTAGCAGCCCAGGAATGCGTTTCATTACACTCGAAGCCGATCAAAATTAATTGCAAACATCCTGCCACCTATCGCTGAAGATAAATCAATCAATCCAATCAATTATTGAAATGGTCATTCAGCTATCTAACCAACCAACTAAACGACCAACTAGCCAAGCAAACAGCCAGCCAACCAACCAATCAACGAATCAACCGCGTACCTTAATACAAGCGACATACTGCCACAACTCTCCACAGACCGATGAGATAGACTTGAAAAAAAAATTAATTTTAAATCTGGGCGATAATTTATAACATCAAATTTAGTTAAAAAAAAATTAAACGTCTAAAAATTCGAATTTAAAAAATTGAAGACAAAAACTTCCAGCCATCTACTACTAAGAAAAACGGGAAATGAAGCAACCACGCGTTGGAAAATTCTTTTTAACATTTCGAATTACAGACGCGCATACGCACAGACACACACACACACATAGACACAAACAGACATACACAGATAATTGAAAAATTAAAAAAACGAATGATTTTAAATGCTTCTCAAACGTTAAAAAAGTCAAATAAGCACAAACACACACACAGACCCACAGACAAACAAACACAAACAAACACAGACAAATTCACACAGACAAACACACACAAACAAACACCGACAAATTCACACAGACAAACACACACACACAAACAAACATCCAAAAATTCACACAGCCACACAAACAAACACAGGCAAGTACACACTGACAGACAAAAAGTAAAATGACCTTTTATATACGATCACAACTAGCCACATAAATCCAATTAACCCATCCACATAAATTGGACGGCCGTTATTAAATTTAAATTCTTTTAATACTTTTCCTCTTTTCTCTTTTGAGAAAAAAAAACTTTTGTCTCAGTAACGCCTGGCTGTCTGGATGGCAAAAATTCTAAATACTACATACTAAACAAGAAATGTAAAATACTTAATCAGTATTTCCGTGGCTACAAACGCCACTGCAATAACAACTGCGACGGTTAGTGTGGCCATTATTGCTACTACTACTACTATTCAAAAATGACATTTTAAAATATAATACCACTGTTAATTACATTACCGCCATTTTCATGTGCCAAAAATTTTACTACAGTGCCTAAAGATTGTTATCAAAATTATTACTGTGGCCAACAACGCTACTACAACTACTACAATACATCACTACTACTGCTAGTGTGCAAACAATTACTGTTACTTCTACAGAGACACATATTTTCAACAAATAATGACTTTTTTCATTTAAAAATTGCAGACAACGCTTAATGTGTCTGAAAATGTTTTTGTGTGAATTTAGTTTTGCCTCTAAAGCATGTTGAATAAAAAGTTATTTTTTCAAATCAACAGACACACTTTTCAACAGTTTTTTTGACAAAAATAACATTCATTGATTAATTAAGTTATGGTCCAAAGCAATTTTTTATTATTGTAGTAAAAATAATTTTATATGCAAGTCCATTTTCATAACTAGCTTATTAGCCAACCTACCATTTCACTCATTCATTCATTTACTTACACATTTATTTATTTATTCATTCATCCATTCGTTTATTCATTCATTCATCCATTCATCCATTCATCGGATTCTTAATTTTCATACATCCTTAACAATTTGTAAGCTAGTTAAAGAAACGTACAAACTATTTTTTTGCATTGAACAAATAAAAAATTAAAAAAAAACATCTTACATATAAAAATACAATCAAATGATACCATAAAATGATACAATAATAGAATGATATACAATAAAAATGATACCACAAAATTATACAATAATGAATTATATATAATGAAATGATACAATATGGTAAATGATACAATAAGGTAAATGATACACAATGAAATGATACAATAGTGTAAATGATACACAATGAAATGATACAATAATGTAAATGGTATACAATGAATGAAATGATACAATAATGTAAATTGTATACAATGAAATGATAAAATAAAATGATACATTTAAATGATACAACTAATGATATACAGTTGAAAATGATACAATTGAACGAAATAATACTTTGTTTATATTAACTAAACTAGCTATGTAGGTACGCACTTAACACAAGTTGGAAAAAATGAACGAATGAGTGAAGAAACAAACAAAAGAACAAATGATTGAATGGATAAACGAATCAATCAATCAATCAACCAATCAATCAATTAATTAGTCAATCGATTAAATATTTAATTAAATAATTAATTAGGAAGGATGGTAATTCAAGGATCGACGAATGACACCATGATGTATCTGCTGCCCTGTAGAACGGGTAAACCCTCGTGATGGTGGGTCAACTTGCCAGGGTGCATTAACATCCATCCTTTGTGTGTTTGTTTGTATGTATGTTTATGTTTGTATGTTTATGTTTGTTTTGTATGTTTGTACGTATGTATGTTTGTATGTATGTCTTTATCGAGTGATAATGTACGAATGTTTCATCAATTTTTATTAGATATGTAGTAGTTATTTTACGTTCGGACGTTTCCATGTATTTTGTTTGTATGTTTGTATAATTTTGTGTTTGTATAATTTTGTGTTTGTATAATTTTTTTAAAGAAGTGTTTAAAAGTATCTAGAATTATAATAAAAAAAAACAAAATCTGTCTGAATAAGTTTATTATCTCTGAAAATGAAACATGATAGTGGGCTATTAATCCTAAAATTGTAATTAAACATAGATACATATAGATACATAGATATTTATTTTTATGATTAACGATCAAAAACGAATTTGAAATTTTAAAATATAATGAATATTCTTAAATACATATGAAAAAATTTGTGAAAAAAAAAGGTAAAACTGAATATAAAATGTTGGTTAAATACAAATCTAATGTTCGTTTATGTGTTTACATAGGACTACAATTCATGTATAAAAAAATTTTTATACATGAGAACATAATATGTTAGTATGCATGTATGTATGTATGTATGTATGTATGTATGTATGTATGTATGTATGTATGTATGTATGTATGTATGTATGTATGTATGTATGTATGTATGTATGAATGAATGTATGTATGTATGTATGTACGTACGTACGTATGTATGTGTATATGTATGTAAGAAGATACGTATGTATGTATGTGTATGTTGTATATATATGGGTGTGTGTGTGTTAGTGTGTGTTTATATAGGTGTGTGTGGTGTGTGTGGTGTGTGTGTAAAAGCGTGTGGAGAAGAAGTTAAGGGTCGACAAATGAGACCATGATGTATCGAGTGCCCCCCGTCACTTGGAGGCCCTCGTGCTGGTGAGTCAGCCGGCCAGGAAACATCAACATCCAACCTTTGTATGTATGTGTTTGTGCGTGAAGTTGTTTGTTTTTGTGTGTTTATAGGCCTGCGGATCTATGTTTGTGTGTCTGTGGCGTATTTGTTTATGCGTTTGTATACGTGCGTTCGTACAATCATTTTTAGTAATTAAAAAATAATATTTCACCTTTCTTTAATTGGGTGACAGCGCAATCGTAGCGAACCATCCTGACACCACCTCCCTGCCAATCAAAACGTGATTTGATTGGTTGAATAATAGTGCATTAAATTTTCAATCGACCAATCGTAAAACTAAACAATTAGATAAATTATATATAGCATCCAATCAGAAGAGAGAGCTACCTGATAATCCACCCCGGGTGTGTTGAGGGCAATGTTGACGGTGAACGTTGACGAATCGGAATGAGGCCTCAATCTATCCTGCTCATCTGGGCGGTACCTCACCACAAAGTTCATTATAGCTCGACTCTGATTGGTCAGTTATTTATTTGATTGATTTACTGCATGATTAAACATTAAGAGATCAATCATTTGACCAAAAATACTTAATAAATCAATCAAAAAACAAAAAAATACAAACAAAATACAAACAAAAACAAACAAAAGACCGACAGACCTCAGTGTAGTATCCTTCGAAAGCACGTTGATTCAGCGGGGCGACGTACGTTTTGAGAAAATGCAACCAATGTCTCTCCCAGTTTATCTGATTTGTGTGGATGTCGACTGTTGGCACGTTCTCGTAGCCCCCCTGAAGCCTGTGGTCCTGCGGTCAGTTCGTTGATTGGTTGGTCATCATCGTTATCCCCGTCGTTGATTGGTTGGTCATCATTGTATCAACATCATTATTATTACGTCATTGCCACCATCATTATATGTATATCACCATCATCACAATCTTCTTCACCGGTTGTCATCATCATTGCCAGTACTCTATCATCATCATTATCACTATTTATATATGTTTATCATCATCATCAAAATCCTCATCCTCACAATCATCATCATCACCCATCTTCACAATCATCATCATCATCACAATCGTCGTCGTCATCATCATCATCATCAGTACCTCATTTTTTCCCCCAGACCACTGTCCAAAATTTTCCATCTCGCTGATCAGGTCATCACAAAATCGGTGAGTAACTATTGGAAACCAGAAAACGTCTGGACAGGGCTGATTGGTTGGTGGATTGATTGGATGGTTTATTGGTTGACTGGTTGGTTGGTGGGTTGATTGGATGGTTTATTGGTTGGTTGGTTGATTGATTGGATGGTTTATTGGCTGATTGGTTGGTTGGTTGATTGATTGGATGGTTTATTGGTTGGATGGTTTATTGGTTAATTGGTTGGATGGTTTATTGGTTAATGGTTTAGTTAGTTGGTTGGTTGGTTAATTTTTTGGTTGATTGATTGGTCAAGTGAAAGATCGGCTGGTTGATTTTTGAGTAATTGCGTGGCTGGTTAGTTGTATGTTTAACTTTAGAATTTTTTAATGGCTGGTTTATTTATCAATTTTCAAAATAAAACTGAGTTTAAATTATTAATAAATAATTAAATTAATCGACTATTTAATCATTTAATTAGTTAATTACCCAACTAATCAATCAATTAACCAGTTAATCATCCATTCAATCAATCTATCAATCAATCATTCATTCATTCATTCATTTAGCTGTTTAACCATCAATCAAAAACCAACGGTTAGAAATTCTTTAAATGTTTTATTGTGCAAGAAGATGTAATACTCTGGATCAATGTATTTCTTCTCCCAAGTCTGTTCGATTTATTGAATGGTTGATTGATTGGCTGATTAGTTGGTTGATTCAATATTCAATTAATATTTAACTGATTGATTGTTTGGTTTAATGGCCGATTAAATAAATGATGGACAGTTAAAACGCACGTATGGGTTAGAGAATATGGCATATAGATCGTTGTTGAGATGGTCAGTTTCGAAGTCGTCGTTATTAACCAGGTGGCCATAGTGGTCAAAATTGTCCACGTACATGAAAATATACTGTTGTTGGTTGTTCGTGTGTGTGTGTGTGTATGTATGTATGTATGTATGTGTGTATGTATGTGTGTATGTATGTATGTATGTGTATGTGTGTATCTGTTTGTTTGTGTGTGTGTGTGTAGGTTCTATCATCTCGTTTATCATCATATTCATTATCGTAGCAACCATCAGCCCCTCATGTCTGAACTACTACTACCCCTACTACTACTACCACTACTACCATTACTACTACATCAACTATTACTACCACCAACACGCTACTACTTCAACTATTTTCACTCACTTTATTTCTGAACTCTTCACAGATGGCTACATCAAGGTCAACACCCTCAGGCCATTCGAAGTTGACCACTGATGGCAGGTGGCGCGCTTGTAACAGGTAAACGTTAGTGACGTATGGAACGTTCCATAAACCCCTGAAGGGCGAATATTTTGATTGGTTGGTCAGTTAACCAATCGGCTATTTCATTACTTATTCTGTTAGTCAACTTCAGGACCAGTTAATCAATCATCAAATGTTTCAATGAATATAATCGAGATACATACTACTACTGCTACTACTTCTGCTGCTTCTACTACAACAATTAAAACAACTTCTACTACTACTTCTGCTACTATTATTAATACTTCTACTACTGCTGCTTCTGCTACTACAACAACTAAAACAACTCCTACTACTACTTTTGCTACTACTAACTATTACTACTACTGCTTTAGCTGCTACCACAATTAAAACAACTCCTACTACTACTTCTGCCACTACTACTATTATTACGACTACTGCTGCTGCAGCTGCTGCTACCACTACTGCTACTACTACTCTTACTTCTACTTACTTTCTCTCCCGGAGCACCAGACTTGCATAGTCGTCGGATCGTTTGTAGTAGCCATCAGAGTTGACCGCCCCCCAGAAATTGGTCCACATCTTGAAGGGCCTGCCCAGCATGGGTGAAACTAAAGACCTGATCATGATGAGGATGTTGATGATGACGATTGCGATGATGATGATGACTACTGTCACTAAATAAATAAGTGCATGAGTAACTGCAACATCATCATCATCATCATTCACATCATCATCATTATTATCAACATCAGTATCATCATCGTTATTTGACGTCATCATCGTCATCATCATCGTCATCGTCATAACCTGTTCCTTTCGATAAGCATCTCTATGAGGTCGAGTTTTTCAATGTGGGCTTCAGCGTCCAACGAGAAGAAGTACTCGCAGTTCATCTTCATGCACTGCTCACTATCGTGATGATGATGATGACGATGATGATGTCGTTGGTGACGATGATAATGATGTTCATGGGAATGATAGAAGAAAAAATTTGATAAAAATGTAACCGAATAATGTGAAAATGACTTTTTTAATTGCAAAATACCAACCCAATTAGTAATTGAGCAAACTTGGTGATGTTAAACAAAGTCATACAACAACAAACAAACAAACATACATACATGCAAACGTACAAAGAAATAAGCAAACAAACAAACAAACAAAACATACAATCCATATTTTCGGGCTTCATACTCTGGCATCTCGCTCGATTGCACTTCGACGGATTTGTACTCATCACCATGATCTGATATGAACTTCTCAACTACTTTAACGTGGAATTGGTCCTGAAAAAAAATATCTTTAACTAATTATATAATAATTATTAATTAATAATCAAATAAATTTTAGTCGATTAATATTAAAATTATTATTAAATCAATTATCAAATTTTCGAGTTAGATCAACTAATGTTCAATTTTAGATTTGAGTAAGTGAACGTGAATCAATGAGCCAGCCAATCAATCAATCATCTAGCCGACCGACCGACCGACCGACCAACCAACCAGACAGACAGACAAACAGACAAACAACTAACAAAGTAGTGTATATAAACGTCTATTTTATCTTTGGGGTAGGTCAAGTTATGAAATCTTTCAAGGAAGTCCTCGACAAACGGCATTACTTTCTCGATGTAGATGCCCACAAATATTTTCGGGTACTCTGATGGCTGAAATAAGAGTTATTAAATCTATTGCTGCTGCTGCTGCTGCTTCTTCTACTACTTCTACTGTTACAGCCACTGCTATTGCTACCACTGCTGCTACCACTACTGCTAGTACTGCAGCTACTATTATAACTGGGTCAAGTTAATGAATTAACATATATATTTAGGTCAAATAATCATCCAAGTAAACATACGTTGACATTTTTTAGTGACCTGGTATCAATATTGCAATGCACGCAGCCTTTGTTGATGGTCCATTGGTTGGTTATGTAACTAGTAAGACTGTTGAAAGCAGCCTGTGTGTGCGTACGTGCGTGTGTGTGTGTGCGTGCGTGCGTGCGTCTGTGAGTACGTAGTAAATTCGCCCACATATCCAAAAACTACATTTTTCCACGATCACTCAATCGAATCCATTGACGGTAGTTACATCTTTGGAATATTAAACAAATACCAACGACTCTATCCCAGACAGTCCATTAAAGACAAAGGGTACCTTGATTGGTCCATTGCCATGGACAACGGCAGGCACCGTGTTGGTGAGGTGGTTGTAGAGGTAGGTGCTGTCCGTCTCAAAATTCACCGACACATCATCTTTTTGAAAGTTTTAAAATAATTTTTTTAGGAAAGAAACTTTTTTCGGTTTGTTTAAAGTGGATGGATTAATAAATTAATATAAAATAAACTAACTTTTACAAAATTGGTCTAAATTCGATTCGATGATTGTTTGAAACCATTAATAAATATATATAAAATAGATTATTTGTTTTTATATATTATTAATTATTCATTCAATCTTTTATTTCTTATCTGAATTTCTTATGAAATAAAGTTATATAAATTTAATTTAAAGTTAATTTCAGTCGTGTCTAACCAAGGGCTCCGTTGAGATTTTGAAAAATTAGGCTGTGTGTATCTAGAGCGATGTTCAGCTTTTCCTACGACAAATTAAATGGAATATAAAGGGTTACTAAAACAACAACGACAACAAAAACAACGATGACAACAATAATGACAACAATAATAATATCAACAACAACAACAACAGTTACAGCAATTCAAAATAAGGTAAAGAAGGTATCCTAACTCGATCAGCCAGGAAAACGTTCGTATAAAAAAGTTGATCGTCGTCGTCGTCCCGCAATGGAAATCTGTTAACGATTGTGTATAGTTGTGGCGCGTGTCCAATGAAACCTTCAAAATTAATTAGTTAATTAATTAATTAGTCAATTAATTAGTTAATTAATTAATTAGTTTAATTGAATATATAAGGAAAGGGTGAAAAATGATTGAAAAGCTTTTTCAAATTGAAAAATTATAAACACGGACAAAAAAAAATGAAATCAATCGAAAATAAAACCTCCAGAATTGAGGAATCTTTTTTCATTTGGGCCAACCTCAGGGTAGGATGCCTACATGCCAAATTAAAATCACCGTTAGAACGATTCTATACCATTTTTAACAAACTTAAAAGACAAAATAAAAATAGAACTTACTAAACTCATGACATTTTACCAAAAAAATTATTACATACGTACAAAATTTAGCTTTTTTTATGGACTTAATATTCAATATTCAACAAATTAAATAAAATGTGTGCGCTAATACAGTATTTTAGTATTATTATAAAACATTTTAGTAGTATTGTAGTATCTTGGTTTGTAGCAGTTTTGTAGTATGTTAATGAAAAAAAGACACAGCTAATACTTACGGCTAGTTCTACAGACGGCCAGCAAAACTCTTCAGCGGAGAACAAGACGTTGACTTGAAACTTATCGAATCTCTCTAATAGCTTCGCTGAATCCAGTGTTAAGACGAGATCGTAACTGTGCGTGTGTTGTGTTGTGATGAAAAATTTGTATAGGTAGTAAGTAGTAGTACATCACACTGAGTTATCTCTTTGTGAGTCGATAAGAATGAAGAAAAAATAAATAAAATAAGAGAGAAAGAGAGAGAGAGAGAGAGAGAGAGAGAGAGAGATTTGTGAAAAGCCAAAAACGTACCTATCGAGAAACATGATGACCAGATTGCCACTGTACTTGTGCTGTTCCAGGGCCTCCCTTAACAGTCGAACCTTCTGCCCACCCCCCACACCGCGTGCCACATCACCTCCATTCCACTTCTCTCCTAATCCTAAAACCTTTTGGAGGAAAAAATTTTGCTAAGTTTGTTGATGTTGAGACGTTTTTTGTTTGGTTTTTGTAGCACCATTTTGATAGCGTTTTGTGATTTTTGTGTCTGCCAACAAGCGCGCCAACTTCAAAACTTGATACAATCAAACCCCTTATTTACAGTTCTTTTTTACAGGTCTATGTATAAGTAAGAATCTACATTTATTCGAAACAATTTACAAATCACACCCCACCTTCACATTGTAGTTGAATTTTGTAGCTGAATTCATGAACCTCTTGAAACCATCATTTTCTTCTGTAGCTACTGTGTACACCAACAGGTCTGTACCTGCAGATAAATATATATGTATGTGATACACGCGTACACACATTTATATACATCTATTTACACACATACACATGCACATACATACGCACGTGGGGCCGGATCTACTATCCATTCCAAGTATAGTTTTAACTTACCAGGAATTTCAAAAAATTTCTTGTAAAAAAAAGTTGGTGACATTTTTTGGCCTCATTACCCAATGTTTAAAAATTTTTTTTAATCCAAACCAATGTTGAATAAGAAAGTTAAAAATCGTCCGTGTATACTCATTATTAAAGGATGGCCGGGATCTGCCCTGTCCTGAATCCCGTCCCATACACATATGTACGCTAACAGACGGATGTATACACACACGTGCACATGTGTATTGGATGTACATAATGGATACACGTAGGTAGAAAGTTGTGTACGTAATGTGAAGTATACACTTAATTTGATGTTTGGTATTTTATTTGAAAATTAAATTTTTACTACGCTCGCTTCTTAGTTACTGAGTCGACAAAATGAAAAATTCATCAGTTAATTTGCCATTTAATTAATTCCTAATTTAATTTCAATTAAAACTGAATAAATTAAAATAGAAGAATAATGACGGAAAATAAACAAATGCTTACTCTTATTAAAGCTATCTTGAGACTGTTGAATCTGAGATGTAGAGTATTGAATGCTGTTAAAAACCACAAACGTGACGAGGATTGTCTTGAACAACAAACCGTTGCAAAGATTTGTAGACATTTAAAAAAATTTAACACTGCTACTGATTATTCCAAGTAAAAAAAATCTACTGCAAGGCACTATAAAAAGGTTTTCTGTTAAAAATATAAATATTAAAAAGAATTGTTTATTAATTATCCAATTAATTATCTACACAACTAATTAGCTAATGAATGAACGTGCCAACACGACAAAAAAAGAGAGATATTATATACAGTTACATGCAGAACAATAATTTTTATGCGAGACTGGCTAAATGTCTTGAATCACGTATGCAGAATTATCTAGATGAATGCATGCATGCATGCATCTCCACTCCTACTCTCTCTCTTCCTCCTCCTTATCTCTCCATCTCCGCTACACTCTCTCCTTTCATCTTCATCTTCTCTCTCTTGTGAATGCTGCAACTTCAGCCTGAGAACATTTCGGAATTGCGTGCTATATACCCGAAACGATTGTAACCGTGCTTATTGTTGTTGTATATGTACGCGTTGCACGCCTGTTGTTTGAGATTAAATTAAAAAATTAAATGACTTGGTTTGTACAGTACACGAACAATTAAATAGAACTATTAAGTAAACGTAATTAATGTTTAATATATGCAAAACGTTATTATAATTTATTTTAATTTATGTTAATGTAATCTCCGGCTAGCACGCACCTACGTTAGCATGTGCTTCCGATGAAGTGTTGTTCATCAGTGACGTCATCACTCCATCCATCATGGCGGAGCTGGTGGGGTGGATATCGACACGTGATTCCATCCACATTCACGACTTTAATTTTTTTATTTTGTCTTCTTCCTCTTCCATCTTTTTTTTCATCTTTGTCATTCAACTTCTCATTCATCCCATTCTATATCATCTTCTTTGCTTTTATCTTAACCACCATAGTTTTAATTTTTCAATCTTTCGAGTCAATTATATTTTTCATTCTATGAAGCTTTCAAGGTCTTTCTGTAGTATTTCATCTCAATACAATGTCATTTTTGCAGTTTTGGGATAACCCTAGGTCTATACAAATATTGCAAAACAGGAACATCGTAGCAATCAACCACAGCCATCCAAATTCAGCCCAACATAAACATTTTATTCTACCAAATAAAAAACTGATAAGCCAAAATAGACATGGCTAAACTAAAACATAAACCATCGAAGTTATCCTAAATTTATTTCGACAATAAAAAAACAAATTTTTTTATGAAAATATAATCAAAAAATTTGTTTAAGTCAGCAGAGATAAGCTTTACAAAACATGGCAGCTCATTATATTGTATATAATTGGCGTCATTTCAACTAAAGATACTACTAACTCAACCAGCTAAACGTTCATATGAGCATTGATAAGTAAACTTAATATAGAAACGAACCAGTATTTATTCAATAAGATTAAAATTTTTAAATGTAAAAATAAAAAGTGAAGATAAAAGCTATGAACATGATGACGGTATAGACATGGACACAAGTTTATTAGGTATATTAGCCACATTATACGCTGGTATTTCTGTATATAGTATGTAATTATACATGAAATACGCAATATTGAGCGTATCAAAATACCTAAGATAGCATACGTAGGGTACAACAAAGTTGATAATGATTACAAATTTAAAAGAAGGTGTTGATGATAGTCACGAAATTGAAAATATTATGGGGTAGGATCGACGAACGAGACCATGATGTACCGGGTCCCTGCTGTAACTGGCAAGCCCTCGTGGTGGTGGGTCAGTTTGCCTGGGTGCATTAACATCCAACCTGGTGTGTGCGTGTGTGCGTGTGTGTGTCTGTCTGTGTGTGTTTGTGTTTGTGTGTATGTGTGTGTAGAAACATCAACAAAAATATAAGTTAATTAACATAATTAATTCACCTTTTTTGAGTTCAGTGACACTGCACTCGTAACGAAGCATTCTCACACCACCACCCTTGTTATTATTATTATTACTACTTTTATCATCATCGTCATCATTATCATCATCATCATCATCATCATCAATATTATTATTATTATTATTATTATTACTAGATAAATTTTTAATTGCATCGATAAACTGAATAATCTGCAAGATGTGTAAACAAATGAAGTTCATCTTTAGAGTAGGGCCTTAGTGATTGTGGGTGGAAAAATGTTGATAGAAATGCATTGATGGGTTTTTCAAAACTCTTCCAGTATTCTCAGAGATATTGAGACACCAAAGTCGCAATAGTGTATGAAAAACGTTACGTAAGCCTTGCACGTTGCAAGCCAGGATATCTTTGCAGTCGAACCAAGCAGCTGCGACACCAGTGCCAGACGCCTTAACCGTAAGTAACACCAATACGATCGAGATGTGATTGAAATTTACTGAATTATTGTGATTGAAATTTACAACCAACGCACCTGGTAATCTACTCCAGGTGTGTTGAGGGCGATGTTGACGGTGAATGTCGACGAGTCTGCATGGGGTCTCAGTCTATCCTGCTCATCTGGCCGGTACCTCACCACAAAATTCATCAAGGCACGACCCTATGGTGGATGAATTGGTGGAGATGGGTTGTTGGGTCATGAATGAAATAATGAATGAAAATTGTTGAATAAATGAATGAATGAATGACAAGCTGACCATCAACAAACCTCACTAAAGTATCCTTCGAAAGCTCTCTGATTGAGCGGAACGATATAATTCTTGAGAAACTGCAGCCAGTGGTCCTCCCAGCCGATCTGGTTCGTGTGTATGTCAACCGTTGGTACGTTCTCATAACCTGTTTCAAGACGATTGTCCTGGAGAAAAAGAGGAAAGAGATGATGGATGAATGGATGCATGGATGGATAGATGGATGAATACGTGGATGGATGGATGAACGACAAATAGCATGCAATGGATAAAAATACCATATCTATGTTCCTTAAAAGCTAAACACAAAAAAAGTTCTAAAGTTCTAAAATAGGTTGACGAATATGAAGAAAATTTCATTATCATCATCATTTGTCTTTACATCATCATCATTATGATTTCAACATCATCGTCATCATTTCAACATCATCAACATCATCATCATTCCATATCATCATCATCACCACCACCTCATTTTTCCCAGACGACCAATCTCCAAAGTGTTCCATCTCACCGACCAACTCGTCGCAAAACTTTTCAGTCACGATCGGAAACCAGAACACATCCGGACATGGCTGAATGAATAAATGAATGAATGAATGAATGGATGGATGAATTAACAGATGAATGAATAAATGAATGAATGAATGAACAAACGAACGAACGAATGAATGAGCAAATTAATGAAAGAGTAAATGAGTGATTGAGTTAATGTGTGAATAAATGAGTGATTGAGAAAATGAGTGAACAAATAGTTAATGAATGAATGAATGAAAGAACGAATGTCCGACCGAAAAAATAAATGGCTAAACAAAGACGTGACAAACCGATTGGTAATCCTCGACAGTTTGATTCAGGAGCGGGAAGTAGTCTGGGTGCACGTATTTTTTCTCCCATGTCTTCACGGATAGATGGGTGGAAGGACGAATCAACGGATGAATGAATGAATGAATGAATGAATGAATGAATTAATGAATTAATGAATTAATGAATTAAGAAACGAATAAATGAATGAATGTATAAAGAAACGAATAGGTTGAATGAATGAACGAACGAACGAACAAACACCAACGTAGGCATTGGAAAATATAGCGTAGAGATCACTGTTAAGGTGGTTGGCAGTAGCATCAAAATCGTCACTGTTAACTAGGTGGCCATAATATTCGAAGTTGTCTACGTACATGAAGATGAACTAGAAGTGTGTGTATGTGTGTACGTGTGTGTGTGTGTGTGTACGTGTGTGTGTGTGTGTACGTGTGTCTGTGTGTATGTACGTGTGTGTGTGCGTGTGTGTGTGTGTCACCATCATCGTCTCAATTCACCCTTTTCCTCATCTCCAAACAGAATACGGCGTCAATGTTATCACCCTCCTTAAATTCGATCCGTGAGATGGACGGAAGATGACGAGCTTGAAGAAGGAATGCACTTGTAAGGTACGGAACATTCCATAAACCTCTGTGAAGGGGTGTTCAAGTTAATTTTACCAACCACACAACCAAACACGCACAGCCACACACAACTACACATACACTTCCACACACGCACACACAAACAACGACACAAACACAACCACACATACACACACGCACACACAGACAACCGCACAAACAACCACACAGACAGGCAAACAAGCATAGAAACAGTAGAAGTGCAAACTTCCTCTCCCTAAGGACAAGAGTTGTGAAGTCGTCGGATTTCTTGAAGTGACCATCAGTTGTTGACGTGCCCATGAAATTCGCCCACATCTTGCCCGGCCTCACCAACATTGGTGCGACTAATGACCTAATCATCGTCATCATCATCATCATCATCAGTTTGATCATCATCATCATTGCTGCATTATCATCATCATCAGTATCGTCATAGCCATCATAACTTTCATTATCGCTAGAGCAGCAGCAGTTGCATTATCATCATCACTATCTTTATCATCTTCCTCGTCATCATCATCGTCATCATCATAATCATAACCTGTTCCTTTCGATAAGCATCTCTATGAGGTCGAGTTTTTCAATGTGGGCTTCAGCGTCCAACGAGAAGAAGTACTCGCAGTTCATCTTCATGCACTGCTCACTATCGTGATGATGATGATGATGGTGATGATGATGATCATCATCATCATCATTACCATCAATTTTCAATCAATTTGTCAATCAAACATGCATTTCAATCAACCAATCAAACAGTTTGAAGTACCGTCCACTTCTACATTTCAATTACCAACTGGTTAAAGCTATAATTAAATAACTATATCATCATCATCAACATCATCACAATCATCACCATCATCATCACCATCATCACCACCATTACCATCATCATCATCAAAAGCCCATCCCCAAAACGTACAATGCATATATTTTAGCCTTATACGTGGCCACTTCACTGTCGGACTGGACTTGTACTGATTTGAAATTGTTGCCGTGTTCAGCGACAAACTTTTCAGCATTTTTCGCGTGCATGACATCCTTTTTAATGGCAAATTTATATGTTATACTTAGGTTGTTTTTTTTTCATATTATATTATGATCATAATTATTGTAATAAAAATAATTATTATTATTGTTTTAGTAATTTTTATTCATCGACAAGCTGGCCAACAACTAGCCAATCAGAAACCAGTCAATCGGAAACCAGATAAACAATCAACCAATCAAAAATCAATAGACCACATTCGTTAACAAAACAAAACGAAACGAAACAAAATCAACAACAACACCAACTATATCAATAACAACAGTAATAATAACAACAACAACAATAATAATAATTATAATAATAATAACCAAATAATGTATATAAAGATCAATTCTCTCTTTTGGATAGGTCAATTTCGAAACTCTGAGGAAAAAGTCTTCCACGAAGTACATGGGTTTCTCAATGAAGATGGCCATGTATATTTGAGGGTAGGCTGCTGGCTGTTGAGTCAAAAATTTAATTAATTAATAGATTAATTAAACTTATTTATCAATTTTGTTTTTCAATTTAATCAGTTTTGTTTACTTTTAATTTTTCGACAAAATTTATTTGACAACGTGTCATGTATATAGAACGTCAGAAAATTGTTTCGTTTAAATTACAATGATTAAATGATTGATTTATTGATTGGTTAGTTGGTTGGCTGGTTGGTTACTTAGTTGGTTGGTTGGTTGGTTTGTTGGTTGGTTGGTTGGTTAGTTGAATGGTTGGTTGTATTGGTTGGTTGATTGACTGACTGATTGGCTGTAATACGTACTTCAATACCATCCAAAGACCTGGTATCAACCAGACAATGAAGACATCCTCTGCTAATTGTCCATTGGTCGGGCACGTAATTGGTCAAGCTGTTTAACCCCGCCTATATTGAGTGTAAAATAATCATCAACATAATTCATGAATAATTAATAGCTATTAACATTTTTTCTCAGCTATTTCTTATATGAATCAACAAAAGACGTGCAGTGTCCTAAAAAATGAGCCATTGCTCCGCCCATAATTAATATTTATCACCTACCCTAATTGGCCCGTTGCCATGAATGATGATTGGGCTTGTACCGGTAAGATCGTTATAAAGGTAAGTGTAGGAGGAGTCGAAATTGATTGACACATCATCTAATTTGATATTCATATTATGTTAATTAGGTTGGCATGCCGTCTTTATAAATATTCAAATTTTGTTATTTGGGAATGTTGAATATGTATCAATTGGGACAGTGATAATACTATTGATGATAATGATGATGAAGATAATAATGTATACGTCAGGGATGATAACAATGATGACGATGATAATGATGATGACGTCATAAGAAATCCAATCAACCCTGATCATCGTTGAGGTTTTGAAATATAGAACTACGGCTATCCAGCACGATATTGTATTTCTCCTGGGAATGAAAAATTTTTAAAATCTAAAACATACAATACAAACATGCAAGCATACAAAGGCATTACATACAATACCAACAACGAACACAACAACATACAAACCAGCTGATACAAAAACATACAAAAAATATGCATGACATACAAAACAAGTATAGGTACACACAAAAAATAACACATTCGAAAAAACAAAGAAAAAAACTACAAACATTTATTTAAATCAAACATACAAAAATAAGCATACAGATACAAACATGCCGCCAAACATTAATACAAACAAACATTAAAAAAATGAGCAGATAGCATACAATCAAACATACAACCCAACATACAAACACACATACAAACTCTATCATTGAGGAAAACGTTTGTAAAGTAAGTTTGATCATCGACTCCTTTAGCATTGTATACCAAACTTGACATCATGCTATACAGACTCGATGCATAACCAATAAACGCTTGATGGGGTGACAAATAAAAAAACATATAAATGAATAAATACATCATAAATATTTAAATTATACTATTATTTCAATGAACAATTATAAGGATGATGACGACGATGAAGGTGACGGTGATGACAATGATGAAGATGATGATGAAAAAGACGAAGATTAAGATGAATTCTATTTATTCTCACATGCGGAGCTAAGGTATCTTTTTTCATTAACTTTCACCGTTGGATAATATTCCTGTGGAAATTTGGAATTTAAATTTATTCTTTTAATTAAATTCATCTAAACTTATATTTAAAAAAAAAACATACAACCCAACATACAAACTCTACCACTGTGAAGAAAAACATTTGTAAAATATACATTTTTTAAATTTATAATTAAATATTTTAAAAAAAAGCTTCCAGATACGTACCGCCAGATCAGAGGAAGGTAGGCAGGATTTGTCTGAGGAGAATACAACGTCAGCTTTCATCTTCACAAACTGCTCCAGTAGTTTGTCAGACGATTGCGTTATCACCGTGTCCGAACTACTGTAAGAATTTTAAAGTTAATTTTATTTCAATGTTAATTTTAATTTAATTAATATTTTAATTTAATTAATATTTTAATAAATGTGGAAAGAGTTTGTAGTGGTTGTTGGAAATGAAGTGAAAAAAATGTAATTCAGCTGATGTTCCGATAGGTTTTAATAACTTGCTTAACTTTCTTCACTTAACAACTACATAAATGTCAATTTGTAACTTTAATTTGGATTTTATTTTTGAAAAATAAAAATGAAAAAATACAAAATTACATTTACGAACTTTTTGACGAAGAGCACGACCAAATTACCACTGTACTTGTGACGTTCCAACACGTTTTTGTACAATTCAACCCGAAGCCCATCTTCTAATTTAACTTCCACGTCCAGGTCCGACGACCACTGGTCATCCAGGCCTAACACCTAAATAGCATGTGGAGAGAAACTGTGTGTGTTTGTGTGTGTGTTTGTGTATACGTGTGTGCGTGTGGGCATTTTTATTTACGGTTATGACGAAAACGGGTCAAAATGGATTGTATTATCTATATCCTAAGTGTGTTTGTGTATACAGACTTGTACGTATATCGATGCGTATTTCTCTACCTATACATTTGTAAACTTTTACTCTGATAATTTCATATGCGTGAATAGCACACATTTGCATTGCATTGCAGGCGGTGGGTTTCTTTTTTGCGTTCAATCCTCCTCACGGCGACGCAAAAACAGACGCCTCTGACCATTATACCATCGGGTTACTTAAAAGTGTGTCATAACGTAAGAGGAACAATTTTGATGAGGAAATAATACAAACTTTGAGGTTGTATTTGAATCTCCGAGCATAGCTGACAAATCTATCGAACCCGTCATTGCGTTCCTTGGCAGTGGTCACAACTAGCAGCTCCGCTTTGACATTTTCTGCAAGAATTGAATCATACAACACGGACTCTTACAACGTAAGGTAGGTAATCAGTATTGTAATTCATAAAATCACTACTAACAAAAAACCTATTCTATAGCGAATATTATTATTATAAAGTAACTTATAAACAGCAATTAATATTTATAAATGTTAATAAATAAATATTATATAAATTAACCATTCGCAGTTTGAGCAGAAGATATCTCAATGAAAACAGTTAAAAACACAATAACCGTTTTAAATAAAATCGCTCGATTACAAATGCTGGTCATCTTTTTGAGTGACCGATGGTAACAAAACTTACGGTCTAACTTATTTAACAGTGATTTAGAACACAACGTCTATATATGCATTTACACGGAGAACAGATGATGAAAATGATGATGATGATGAAGAAGGTGATGATGGTGGTTGAAAATATGCCAACACGACAATTGTAACAAGGGAGTGATGCATATGCATGTGTTGGTTATACATCGTTTCCATTATATATGTGTATGTATATGTGTTTGTATGGATAATATACTATTTTATAAATATAATACTCTATTCTATATATTCTTTTGTGTGTGTGTTTGTGTGTCTACTTGCTTATTTACGTTTGTATGTGTTTGTGTGTCTGTTTATGTCTGTGTGTGTTTGTCTGTGTATGTCTGCTTATGTCTGTTTATTGTGTAATATTAATACTTTTTAATGGAGTTTCGCGTCAATTATGATAATGTGATATAGGTTTTTTGTGTTTGTTTTAATAATATTAACAAACTTTTTATAAAATTGTAAATGTGATTTAGATGATTCGTAATGTAGCGTGTATAAAATGTATACTGCTTGTATATGCATATGTATATGAATAGAAAGGTTATTTCGCACCAGAAGTGCTTATAAGTAAAGGATTTCTAATTATATTATCAATGTGCATGATAAACATCATTTAAATAAAACTATTTTTTAATTAAACAGTTTAGTTAATTGAATAAATTGACTTTAAACATTCAAATAGTCAAATTTTGGCTTCAGATTAGGCATTGCTGTGTATTTCAAATAGCAGCAAAAGGTCACACTGTGAAGTTTATATTGTAACCCTGCGTTCCGGCCTTAATAACTGACTGAAAAATTCGTCGCAAAAGTTGGTTAAAATTTGATTTTTGTGAAAATTTTTGCTGGTTTATCACTCAGGCATTGTTTTTCATTCGAGTTAGTGTATTTTTTTCGGATGTCATCTGTTCTAAAATTTTGTAGAACGGTTCGAATTTGAGTGGCTTGCTAGAGCCTGCATTCATCAATCTACATGATGGCCAATTCAATTGATAAATAATATAAAATGGTGAAAAAATTATTATCCGACTTTAATTTCCGATTTTAATTTTCAAAGATTGTATGTACAACATTAAGATTGAGTAATTGAGAGTAATTTAATGGATTTTAAACTTTTAAAGGATGTTTTGATTGGAGAAATGAAGCATCTGATATATTTTAATTTAATCTTTATTAAATGTTACTTGATGTAGTTACTTGAGTCACTCACAACAACTCTACTACTGCTAATTTCATAATTAGCAGTTAGTATTATTTCAGTGCAAGCAAAGCACTTCTGTTTGGGAGTTCAGTTGATTAACTATAAAATTTATAGTATAAATAATTAATGAAATGATTAAGATTAAATAATGTTTTGTTTATTATCTTAGTTCAATACATATTGATTATTGAATTTAACTAAAAATTGCTTTTTCAAAGTTCAGAGTTTTGCAAAGTAAAATGCTGCTGTTGAATTCATTGAAAGTGTTGAATCGACTGTTTGTAGTTAATGGCAAGGCCTTGACACCCAACTGTGTTACTAGATCCCTTAGTACCAGCATTTGGTTGTCTGGGGGCCACCACAATCACCATCAAGTCTGTTTTTTTTATCTTTGTTTTATGTTTCTATTGTAGTTCGAATGTAAACAAAAATTTAATGAGAATTAGTTTTTGTTTTGATTTCACTTAAAATTTTTAGTTTTTTTTTATTTAAAATTATATCTTTATATTGAAGCAATCAAATCAATGGCCACATATATTAAAATTACTCTTATTCTCACTTATTCTCAACCAAATACTTTATATAAGTACTAAATTTAAACCACAGAATAACAAACTACGACACACTCGACTTTATGATTTTCATGTCAACAAAGGCGCCAAAATGGTTGAATTTGCTGGCTGGAACATGCCTGTCGTGTACAACAACATGACCATCAGTGAATCACATCTCTATACAAGGTTGTGTATTATGAATCATAATTTATTCTAATTTATTCTTATTAGATTCATTATTTTTTCTAAAGTTTTAATGGAAGTTCAAGAAAAAATGTGTCAAATTTGGAGTTTAACAAAAAATTAATCACTGGTTCAGCTTTGAATTTTTTTTTATCGAAAATGAATTCATTGACACGCGCACACACACACACACACACACACACACACGCACACACACACACATACAGAGAGAAGGCCTCAATGTTTGATGTGTCACACATGCTTCAGACAAAAGTATCAGGCAAAGACAGGATTGAATTTTTTGAGAGCCTCATCGTGGGGGACCTTCAGGGACTTGCCACGGACCACTCACTTCTTACCCTCTTCACGAACGATGAGGGGGGTATCATTGATGACCTGGTGGTCACTAAAACCTCTCAAGGTTGTTAATGGTGATGACCATGATGAGGACGTGATTGATGATAATAGTAGCCATAGTGTATATTTATTTATTTGTGTGTGTGCATGTGCGTGTGCGCGCGCGTGTGTGTGTGTGTGTGTGTATGTTTGAAATCATCTTAAGACATATATCTCAATCTTTGACACCTTTTTATTAAGATTTTATTTGTATTTCATTCTGAATGCTCAAATTTAAACTAAAGTTTTATGAAAAAAAAATTTTATATAAATATTCTGTTAAATTGTAACTGAAATGATGAATTTAATTTTGCTGTAACGTATTTTTGTGTGAAAAGATTACTTGTATGTGGTGTCCAACGCTGGCTGTTCTGAAAAAGATCACAAACATCTTGAGGTACATTTTATTATCTTCCATTTTTGAGAACGTTCCAACATGTATGCCGTGCTTTTCTACTTTTACATTTCAAATTTTTCACAAGTTCATTCATCAGTTTTTGATCCTTTATTTAATTCATTCAAATTTTTTCCATCCATCAATCCGTCTGCGGATGAATGAATGATAGGAAGAATGTGCAAAGTTTGCAGCCAAAGGAAAAGAAGTCAAAGTGGAAACTATTGAGAATAGTCTTGTTGCTGTTCAAGGTCTTTGGGATTTATTATTATCGACATCATTGTTTTGTCTTTAAAAATTTTTCTATTATAATTGTCAGTCAGTTTATTTTGATTCATTTTTATTCATTAAACTTTAATAACGAATTGATCTTTGACAAAAAGTTTTCTATTTTTACTACTTCCAAAATGTTTAAATTTTTTCAGGCCCCCAAGCGGCAGTCACTTTGCAACCACACGTGAACTCTGACCTTTCGACCTTGTCCTTCATGTCCAGTCGTCTCGTGACATTGTTCGATGTGCCCAATGTCAGACTTACAAGGTGCGGCTACACTGGAGAGGATGGTTTTGAGGTTGGTTCGTCGGTTGATGCGTGGGTAGTGAGTTGTTCATCACAAGAAAGGACAACCCTGACCACTACAAATACAAACCACATCAGATCAGCCTGCCAATGGACATGACGGTGTACGTGTGTGAGCAACTGCTCGAGATCAACAACGAGATCATCAAACTTGCGGGCCTGGGTGCCAGGGACACCCTTCGCCTCGAGGCAGGCCTCTGCCTCTACGGCAACGACATCGACGAGAAGACCACCCCAGTCGAAGCGGGGCTCGCTTGGACCATCGGCAAACGCAGACGAGAGTTGGCGGACTTCCCTGGGGCACCGTTGATTTTGAAGCAGTTGAAGGACAAGCCACACAGAAAGAGGGTGGGGATTATTTCCCATGAGGCACCAATCAGAGGTGAGATTGTTGTTGTTTGTTTTTTGCTTCGTTCATTTGCTCTCTTGTTCCTACCAATTCATTTGTTAGTTTCGAAAAACATCAACGCGTTAACTAGCCATGTATAATATTTACCAGCCGACAACTTGGTGTATGATGGATCCGGTACATCCCTGGTAGGCAAGCTGACCAGTGGCTGTCCATCTCCATCTCTGAAGAAGAACATCGCAGTGGGGTACGTGGACATCGGGTCATCCGAGATCGGCACTGAGGTCAAAGTTGAAGTTCGCAAGCATCAGGTTGAAGCTGTCATCGCTAAGATGCCTTTTATTCCGACAAATTATTACCATGCTCCTAAAAAATGATTCATCTTGATTGATGGATGAGTTGGATGGTTGCAGATTAATGGATTGGTTTGATGATTGATGGGCCGGTTGATTGATTAGTTGATTGATTGATCAATTTACTGAGTAATTGGTTTAATCAGTTGCTTCTATCCGGTTGTTGAGCACACTTTTGATGATGAAATGGTGTTTGTTTTGAGTTTTTCAAGTTCATATGGTTGATTTCTTTACGTCGAGTTATTTTTGATTGAAAAGCAGTTTATCGAATTACTATTAGATTGATTGGTTCGTTAGTTAATCGATTGATTGGTTGGTCGAATGGTTTGCTGTCCGTTTTTTTGATGGATGGATGGCTGGTTGATTGAAACTAAAAAATTGACAATGCATGTTTACAACTCATTCATTTGTAAATTAAATTTTTCACATTTTGATTAAGTTACTATTCTATGAATTATTTATTTTTGACAAGTAACAAAATATTTATTTGGCTCGTTTGAAAAATATAATCAAACATGAACTTTGCGTTGTTTTATTTTATTGTTCTCTCTCTCTCTCTCTCTCTCTCTCTCTCTCTCTTTCTCTGTTTTTTTCTCTTTTTTCAATTTCTCTTTCTATATTTTCTTCAAAAAATCATGCAGAACTGTTTTCTTTATGACTTTTTATTCCTGAAAAAATTATATATTGATGTTTTTGGTATTATCATCCAATGATACTTTTTCCCTTCATTTCCGTTATTATATCTTTGTTTTGTTAAATTTGTTTTATTTTGGTTTTTGTTATTTTCATTCTTTATTCTTTTATCTATTGCCGTTATTGTTGTTTTTGAAATGTTTATCATTTTTTGTTGATGTTGAGATGGGTTTATCGTATCATCTCATTATCATATCATCTAATTATCGTATCATCTCATTATCATATCATCTCATTATCATATCATCTCATTATCATATCATCTCATTATCATACCAGCTAATTATCATACCAGCTCATTATGATATCATCTCATTATCGTATCATCTCATTATCATATCATCTCATTATCATACCAGCTCATTATCATACCAGCTCATTATCATACCAGCTCATTATCATATCATCTCATTGTCATATCATCACATTACTGCGTTACTACGTCACTATCATTTCAAATCGTTACTCATCATCATATCACCGTACTCTTATCACATCGTACTACCACATCATAATCGTACACGCCTTCAGATCGCGTCTAATTACCATATTTACACGCTAACTAACATGTAACCGACAATTATTGTTATTATCATTATTATTATTATTGTAATTTTTGCTATTATTATTATTATTGTTGTTGTTGTTGTTATTATTATTATTGTTGTTGTTGTTGTTGTTATTATTGCAGACGTTGTTACCAGATGATGTATGCTCTTTCAAACTTTGTTAGAGTTTCGGCCATTTGTTGATCAATTAATTCTATTTTCTTTGTCGACAAAAAAAATTACATAGTTACCAACACTCATCTGTGTAGTAGTATAGGATGAGAATCTTTCTCCAATTAATCAATTGACTGATTGATATATTGATTGGTTGGTTAATTGATTGATAGGTTGGTTGATTGGTTGGTTGATTGATTGATAGGTTGGTTTATTGATTGATTGATTGATTGATCGATCGATCGATCGATTTATTTACTGATTTCCTTCATGCCTTGGAAATTAGTTTTATTTTATTGAATTTTTGGTTAATTAAACTTCATTAATTAATTCAATTAATTAATTCAATTAATAACTAATTAATCAATTAAATGGTTGTTTGGTTAATTAACTATTATTAAATGAACATAATAATAATTCTGTTTGCATAATAATTAATCCGCAAATTCTGTATTAACGATTGGTTAAAGATTTTTGTTTGTTTATTTGTTTATTTGTCATTTAAAAATTGAAATAAACTTGATATTATATATATATATATATATATATATATATATATAATTTAAAGGTTAAAATTTATTTTCTGATTTTTTGTTCACTGAATAAACTACATTTTTAAAACATTTTATAAATTATGTGTGTGTGTGTTTTTGTGTGTGTGTGTGTGTGTAGAGTTTGTGGGTGTGTGTGTGTGTTTGAACGCGAACATAAATAAATGAAAGTATGAAAGCAACTAGTATCTTGTTGAAAGTATCTTGTTGAAAGCAACCAGTTAACATTTATCATGGAGACGGATGTATGTATGTGTGTGTGTATGTGTGTGTGCGTGTACGTGTGCGTGTGTGTGTACGTACATATTGTGTGCGTCAGGTCAGGTATAATAAATTAATTCCTCCATAAAAAAAACTTCTCCTTCCGTTTGGCCAACTTCGTGATATATCGCCAACTTTCCAGTACAAAAGGAACCAAAAAATTAAGATTAAATTTACATCAATCTTTGCGCATCGTTGTGCTCTTTCAATCAGTCTCTATTTCTTCCTCTCTCTCTCTCTCTCTCTCCCTCTCTCCCTCTCTCTCTCCCTCTCTCTCTCCCTCTCCCTCTCTCTCTCTCTCTCTCTCTCTCTCTCTATCTATCTATCTATCTATCTATCTACCTCTTTCTTTGTTTCGTTCTGCTGTTTTTCGCTTTTTCTGTCTCTGTCTCTCTCTCTCTCTCTCTCTTTCTCTCTCTCTTTCTGTCATATCTAACTCTCTGTTCCTCTCTTCCTCATTGTCATCTCTCTCGTCAACATCTCCAACAATATTTGCCGCGTCTCTTCCCGGCAAAACTCTTCACTATCTCTCTCATTTCCAACTCTCTAAAATGTTTCTCAACATCTCACAACATTGCTCCTCTCCACATCTTTCAGTGTCGCTCCATATTTTGTCCTCCATATCTCTCTTTATTTTTTTTTCATTTCTCAACTTTGTCACTCTTCCTCTCGTTTTGCACTCTCTCACTCTCTCTCTTTCGTGATATACTTGTATGAAAACTAAAACTCATACCTATACATATAATATATGTATCTATATATTATACATAAATACAAACAAACATTCATACATGCAAACATACATACATCCAAACATACATACATCCAAACATACATACATCCAAACATACATACACCCATACATACCTATGTATATGCATATACAAATAGCTTTAACATAGAAGTATGAACGTGACCGTACGTATAAATTGGATTGCTGAAATGCCATGCTCCAGCTAACAGTTCGTGTTTTTAATGCTGTTGGTGATGTTGATGTTGTTGTTGATATGGTTGTTGTTGTTGCTGCTGCTGTTGTTGATGACGACGTCATTGTGTTTTCGTGACGTCACTGTTTTTGTTGTTGTTTTGGTGTCGCTTACAGTTGAATTTTTTTTACGCTGTTGCAGGCTTTGTTAATGTTCATCTTTCCGTTCAGTGCAGTTCATTCAATACGTTTTGGATTTTTATTGTGTTGTATTGTATTGTACTGTATAGCGTTATATGGTCATTGTATTGTATTAGTGTGATAATTGTATTGTATTGTGTGGCGTTCTTAATGTTATGTTATGTTATGTTTTTAATGTTTATTTCTTCAAAGACAGATATTCACACGAAGATCCAATTCCAAGAGGTGAGATAATTATTTTCAGAAGAAAAACTCAAAATTAAAAAAAAAACAACAACATTATCTAGTTACCAGCCAGCAACATCAACTTCAAAAATGTTAACTGCATCGAAACCACCACCAACATCAACAGTGGCAACAAAAACGTGAACAACAACACCAAAATGTCTACTATCGCAAACAACATCACCAAAAACCTCCTCCTCCTCTTCCTCTTCCTCTCCGTACTGCTGGACCTGGTGGCCATCTTGAACGGAAACTGGTTGTTGGGCTACTGGGGTGACGTCATAGTCATGAAGGTCAGCCCCAGCGAGTGCTGTCACGTGACTTGTCTGTGGTGTGGCGTCGAGAAGAAGCCGAGATTCAGATGTGGTAATAGTGATGTTAGCAACTACCCTCTCCTCAATAACATTGATTCTAGCAGTAGAAACAGCAGAGATACTAGTAGTAGTACTGGTAGTAGCGGTACTAGCGACAGCAGTAGTAGTAGTAGTGGTAGTAGCAGTAGAGACAGCAGTAAAAGTAGCAGTAGTTATAGCAGTGTAAATGCTGTTATTGGTAGTAGTCATGTTAATGATTACAGTGATGCTGATGGGAAAAGAGGTAATGTTGTTTTAGCTGTCGACCAGTGCTCAACACTTGGTCAGTTGATCTTTTTAAATGTTTGAAAAATTAATAATAATTTCTGAGCTAACTGAGCTGTTGTAAGATGAAATATCATGCTCCTATTAATGTTTGCAGTTTCAGCTTCTAATATTTTTATGTAAAAATTTTATTTACCAAAATTTAAAATTAAAAATGTTTAAACCGTCATTTTTATTGATACTATTTAACAAATAATTCAAATTTATTTTGAAAATATTTTAATAACTAACCTGCCATCTTCCGACAGAAAACTACCCTCTAGACATGTACGTCTTAACGAACCATCTGCAATATTGGTCTCTACTGTTCCTCATCACAAGCATAGGCACATCCCTATATTTAAAATTCAATGACGTCAGTATGAATGGCGGGAAAGTTTATCTGGCGATTGTTAAACTCACCGTCATTCTGCTCCTGGCCGCTAGTAAGTTGTCGTCGTTTCTTTTTTTGTTTTTTGAATAAAAATTTTTAATTTTTAATTAGCAATATATATATTATCTATTATATTGCATGTGTATGTGTGCGTGCGTGTGTGTGTGCGTGTGCGCGTGTGTGCGTGCCTGTACGTGTATTAATGAATGGCGAGCGAGCAGAACTTCGTCATCAACAGCCCATTCGCAGTAAATAAAAGGCAAATAAAAAAAATGGTCGGCTTTCCATAAATCTAGCATTCTATGCATTCTTGCCTGGAAGCGCCTGGAAAATTTGACAGTTTAATATCTATGGATGTCGTTACCATGGCGACCTGCTTTAATCTGCCTGTCATTTGTAATGTTGCACGTGCCTTTTGTCTGTCTGTCTTTCTGT